TTTGCCTGTTTTCCTGTTACTGTGTTATTTTCTTATAGATTTTTACATTTTTATAAAGTAAAGCTATTTCTCTATTATAGTCAAATATATTGCATATCTTTTTGACTGTTTCTCCTTTGTGTTTTCGTTTTGTTCATGGCATTATTTTTTTTTTTTTTTTTTTTTGTCTTATAGAATTCTTTAGTTTCTGTGTAGTGGAAACCATTGTAATTTTCCTTTGTGTGTTCTGCATTTGATTGCATGCTTAGAAATACCTTTCCCATGTTTTATCATCCGATGGAACAAATACACTTAATTATGCATTTGTCAATTTTTCTCAACTGTTTGTACAAGTTTATTCTTTACAATAACTTTAGGCCAGGTACAATGGTTCATGCCTGTAATTCCAACATTTTGGGAGGCCAAACCAGGTGGATCACCTGAGGTCAGGAGTTTGAGACCAGCCCGGCCAACATGGTGAAACCCTGGCTTTACTAAAAATACAAAAATTAGCCAGGCATGGTGGTACAAGCCTGTAATCCCAACTGCTTGGGAGACTGAGGCGGGAGAATTGTTTGAACCCCAGAGGTGGAGGGTGCAGTGAGCCGAGATCGCACCACTGCACTCCAGCCTGAGTGACAGAGCAAGATTCCATCTCAAATAAGCAAAAACAAAAATCAAACAAACTTTAGAATTATTTTGTCAAGTCCCCCCATTGACCTTAAAAATTCCTTTTGGGATTTTGATTGGGAATACATTAAATGAATAAGTTGATTTGGTGAAGAATTTATAAATTTATAATTTTATATTAGAATGTAAGCTCTGTAGGGGAAATTTGTATGTTTGGTTCACCGCTATATCCTTTGATTTAGAATGTATCTGGCACATAGTAGGTACTTAAAAAATTTACATGAGTGAATTGTAAATCTTTTCAGAAATGAGGTATGTCTTTTATTTATTTAAGTCTTCTTTCATATTCATCAGAAAAGTTTAGTAATTAGTTTCATGTAGTTCTTACTAATTTCTTATGAAGTTTATTCTGGAATTTTTAAATAACTTTGTTATTTTAAATGAATCTTTATCCATTCTATTTTCTTTCTGGTTATAGTTCTCATTTAAGATAAATTGTTAGATATATATATACACATAAAAGTGTGTGTATGCGTGTGTGTGTATACATTAGCCCCTTATTGAACTCTTATTTAAATTTTAATATCATCTCAGTTAATTCTTTTGGGTGTTGTATATACAAAAATCACATAATCTGCAAATCATAATCATTTTGTTTCCTTCATTTTAACATTTACCCATTGGTTTATTTTTCCAGTTTTCTCTTTGAATCTGTTAGAACTTTCAGAACAATGTTTAATAATAGATTATAGTTATCCTTGTCTTATTTCTGACTTTAATGAAAGTTGTTTCACCACAAGAGTTTGAGATAATTATTTTTTGTCATGTTGAGGAAGTATTTTTTTATTCTAGTTCACTACGAGTTTTTCTCAGGAATGGATGTTGAATGTCATAAAATACATTTTGGCCATTTATTGATTTTTTTTTTCCTTGAACTATTGAGGTGATGAGTTATAGTAACAGATTTCTGAATATTGAACTCCTTTTTCATTACTGAAATAAATCATTCCTGGTCTTGATGCATTCTTTTAAAAATACCCTTCTGGATTTGATTTTCCAGAATTTTATTAAAGATTTTTGCATTCATATTCACATATGAGATTGGTTAGCAGTTCACTTTTTGGGCAGTCTTTACCTAGTATTGACATTACGGCTGTAATTTCATAACATGAATCAAGGTGATTTCACTCTCTTTTTTACCCTGATATAGTTTAAATAAGATAGGAAATCTCTGTTCCTTGAGATTTATTATTCACTTAGAAAGTCATCTAGATCTGGAGTATTTTTAGGGATTTTTGATGTTTTTGTCCTCAGTTTCATCTGGAGTTTTAAAATTTATTTTGCTGCTTCTTGGTTAAATTTTGGTCATATATTTTGTGTAAAATAATACATTTCATGGAGCTTTTCAAAATTATTAGAGTCATTTACAATATTATTTTTATCATTTAAATTTCCTGCTAAAGTAGATGAGATAACATCCCATTCTCATTCCTGGTGCTACGTAAATTTTTACTTTCTCTTTATTGACCAATCTAGGTATTTGTTTATTCATCGATCTTCTCATATAAGCCAATTCTTGGATTTACTTATTGGTCCTGTTATTCTTTCTGCTTCTTGATTCATTACTTTTGTTTCTATATTCATTAATTCTTTTCCATAATTCTGTTTATTTTGTTGTTTATGTATTTTCTAGAGTAGCATAAAATTGATTTTTTAAAAAATTAATGCAATAATAAAGATATTTAAGGCTATACATTTTTTTCTATGAGTATGTGTTTGGCCTTATCTCAGGAATGTGACACATAGTGTTTCTTTTATTGTTAATTTCTAAATAGCTTGCAGTTGCTGTTTGGACTTTATTTTTCTTCTAAGAGCTATCTGGGAGTGTTTTCTCATTTCCAAGTGGTCGAATGCTTAGTCTTTTACAGGTTTGCTAATAGCATTGGATTTTATTGCATTATGTTTAGAAAATGTAGCCTATTTAATTTCTGTGTTGGAGATTTATTGAGATATTCTTTGTGGCCTAATATCATTTTAGAATGATAATGGGTATACACCATCTCTATAGCATGGTATTTAATCTATATTTTTGTTTTAATTTGATTTTGTCAAAAATTTTCTCCCATTATATTTGATTTCTCTTCATTTCTCTTGGTATTTATGATAGTTTTTGCTTTCTCTATCTTGAAATATTCACGGCATAAGCATGACTGATAGTTACAGCTTCACTATTGATTGTACGTTTAATTCATATAAAATGACCTACAAAATAGCTTCTTTGTATAAGAGAATATTGTTTTGCCCAACTTCTATTTTGATAATAATGTGATGACCTCTGCTTAGTTTTTGTTTATATTTGCCTGGTGTACTTTTGAACTTCCTTTTATTTTTACCTCTTTTGGGCCACTTTATTTTAGTGGGGTTTTGTTTTGTTTTGTTTTGTTTTTGAGACAGGGTCTTGCTCTGTCTCCTAAGCTGGACAGCAATGGTGCAAACACAGCTCACTGCAGCCTCAACCTCCTGGGCTCAATGATCTTCCTAACTCAGCCTCCCAAGTAGCTGGGACTACAGGCATGTGCCACCATGCCTGGGCAATTTTTAAATTTTTTATAGAGACGAGGTCGCACTATGTTGCCCAGGCTGGTCTCAAACTCCTAGGCTCAGGCAATTTTTCTGCATTAGCTTCCCAGAGTGCTGGGATTACAATTGTGAGCCACTGTGCCTGGCCTGTATTTATTTTTTGTAAACTTCCTATAGCATTGCCATCTGACATTCTGTGGCTATAACAGAGAAATCAGATAGCCAATTTTTTTTGTTTCCTTTTAGGTAGCCAAATATTTTTTTTTCTAGATGCTTATGGATATTTTGCCCTTATCCCTATATTTCAGAAATGTTACCAGGAAGCATATAATTGTAGGTTTTTTTCTTTATATGAACTTTTCCCATAATCAATGAGTACTCGCATGCACAGGTCTTTTTTTTTTTTTCAGTTTAGAAAATGTTTCTTCTACTATATTCATACTGCTTATCTATAGCCTTGCTCTTTGGTTTTTGTCTCCCAAATCTGTCATATTCTCTACCATCCTTTCCATGTCTGTCCTTATACTCTTCCTCCTGAGAAAGGAATAGGGCTGACCAGCATTCCCATTGCCTCACCAATCAGCATCTGTCAGGAAGACAGATGGATGCCTGGAAATCTGCTTAGTACACATCCGGGATATCTGAGTCCGGGATGTGGAGAGGGGAAGTTTCAAGTATCACAAGTTCAAGCCCAGATAGGTTGTTATCTGTCTAGCTCCATTTGCCTTAGAAATTGGAGTTTTGCACATCAGTGTGCCCTTAAGTCTTAGCTTTCAGGCACCGTGGTGAGTTTTCATCTTTTTCTGTGTTTTCTTAGTTACTTTGACTTAATGGCTCAGTTAGATCTGATTTATAAACGTGACATTTAGCCATCCTAACCTTTGTGAGGCCATTTAGAATAAGCTTTTAAAAACTTGTTGTAATATTATTTTATTTTAAAAATGGATATATAATAGTTGTATATATTTATGGGGTATATGTGACTTTTTATATGTAAATATAATGTAATGATCAAATCAGGGTGATTGGAATAACCATCACCTCAAACACTTATTTCTTTATTGGGAACATTCCACATCTTTTCTTCTAGCTGTTTTGAAATGCACTATGAATTCTTGTTAACTATAGTTGCCCTATTGTATTTTCAAATTCCAGAATTTCTTCAGTCTGTCTGTGTTTTTGTAGTCATTAATCAACCTCTCTTCATCCCCCTTCTCTTGAGACTCAGAGCAGGGGATCGGGAGCTCCTTTTGAGCCCTCCTGTTCTCTTCTTCTTCTGCCCCTTGTACCTGTGGGTGAGGTAATCCTCTTAGTTGAACCTCCAAGGGGTTGGGGAGGGAGACTCTCTTTGATACAGACACAGAGGATGTGATGGGGTGAGTGTTTTCAGACCTATTCTGGCCCCCTGGCCATCACTGGGGCCCCATGGTTATTTGTGGGAGAAGTATTCAAAGAACTGTGGTTTAGACTGTATAGACCTCCCAACATCAGCCCCACCTGCCCGCCTTTGCCTGGAGCCCTGTGCTTTTGACATGCCCTCCTTACTGCTAGGCATGAAGCAGAGAGGTAATTTCTTGTCTGGGGAACCCACAGAGGGAGGAGGCAATCCCAGACTGGTCAATTTGAATTAGAAATCCTTAACTTTGGAAGTTTGTTGTTGTCCTTGGCAGTTAACTAGGCTTTTGGACCACTGCTGTCCCCGCTATCTGTGTTTGCAGGGCACCTGCCCTGGAGGTGTATCACCTCTGGTTGGCACAGGCCCTTGTGTGCGTTTCCTGACATGGATGATTCAAGGCCTGCTCTGCTCGCTGGATGTTGGCCCAGCACCCAGTCCGCCCTCACTTTTGTAGACCACGTCATCACTTCCACTAATAGCACACTCGATGCAGGACATACATTGTACCGCAGCAAGGTTCACAGAGGTGGTAAAAGCTTCCAAAGAGCATCCTGATCCATTAAAATCTTTGGTGGGAGCTGGGAGAGGCAGCATCAGGAGGCTCCCAGCCAGAAACCATTTTAAGCCAGAACCTTTCCTATTGATTCTCTTATTGGTTCCTAGACGCTGATTCAGGCGCTGGAGTTCAGATGCCCTCTGCTCCCTTCCTGAGGCATGTAGGCAGTGGTCATCATAGTTAATGGGATAGACTGGATGTCATCTCCCAGACCCTTGCATGCCCTGAGGACAAGACTATCAAACCCTCTAGGCCCATTTCCAAATCCCTTCCACATCCCCCCAAATTCCCAGAAAGAACCACCATATAGCTAAGGGACTGCATGCCCAGAGAGGAGCCTAGGTATCCTGCCTGAGCCAGCCTTTCAGCCAGCCACAGCTGCACCCACTTCCAGAAGTTTATGACTTTTTAGAAAAACTTGAAGAAGTTACTTCCAGGCTTATCTGGCTTTCTTTTTTTTTTTTTTTTTTTTTTTTTTTGAGATGGAGTCTTACTCTGTCCCCAGGCTGGTGTGCAGTGGTGCGCTGCAACCTCCACCTCCCAGGTTCAAGTGATTCTCCTGCCTCAGCCTCCTGAGTAGCTGGGATTACAAGCATGTGCCACCACGCCTAGCTAATTTTTGTATTTTTAGTAGAGACGGGGTTCGACTGTGTTGGCCAGGATGGTCTCGATCTCTTGACCTTGTGATCCGCCGGCCTTGACCTCCCAAAATGCTGGGAGCCACCGCACCCATCCCTGATCTGGCTTTCTATTTTCCCTGTTTCTAAATCACAGAAAATGTTATTACATGGTGTCGTTAAAAACAATGTAATAGCTGGTTTAATGACCAGTAACTTCTTCATTAATAATAACTGATGAAATATACCCCTGTTTCCACTCAGATTTACTCTTGCTTTGATTCAGTGCCCATATTCAGAGTTTATGGTAAGCTTGGGATTCCCAGAACCTGTGCGGCATTTCCAGAACCCTTCATTCTATGGCCTTGAGACTTGCCATGATTTTTGAGCAAAAGCGTATCTGAATGAGCAGACTTTATTGGGCACAAATGTCAATTTTGTGGACTCCTTCCCCAGGTAAGGGTCAAAGAATGTTTAATTCCCTGCCTGGGGAAGTCTCCTGTGCAGTTTTAGTGCCAGTGAGAATTTGGAGAACACTGGAGCAAGGAAGGGGAGGGCAGATGGGCCCTGGCCCTGAGAGAACTGCACTGTTCCTGCAGATGTCTCCATGATGACACCCATTAATGACCTCCACACCGCTGACTCCCTGAACCTGGCCAAAGGGGAGCGGCTCATGCGGTGCAAGATCAGCAGTGTCTACCGACTCCTGGACCTCTATGGCTGGGCCCAGCTGAGTGACACCTATGTCACGGTGAGCAGAACACCCTGGAGTTGGGTGGGGCACTGCGTGTGGTCCCACAAAACTCAAAGGGAGAACTCCTGACCCTTGGCATGGCCATGGCACTGCTGGTGACCTTTGGCCAAAATGCACTGAGCCCTGCCGAGGTTTTTAGCCACTGTGGTCATTGATAAGGCAGCCTGCCCAGCGGGCACTTCTTTGGATGGGAAGGAACTCCTGGTTCGTATACTAGAGTTACCCTTGATCATAGTAAGTTTCCTTTTGTAGCTCCCTTTCCCCTGCTCCAAATAAAGGCTGAGTCCTTTTTATCTCTCATGGCTGGGGGGAGAGATAAGAGTTCATTAGAGGAAGACTTGGGTGCAGTGGATTCAGGGGAAGAGGGGATTCAAGCACAGTGTCCTTGGAAATGTCCCCTCTCCCTCCTTGCCTCCTGAGAACGTGTGTCTTTCCTCCAGTTGAGAGTCAGCAAGGAGCAGGACCACTTCCTGATCAGCCCTAAGGGAGTTTCTTGCAGTGAAGTCACAGCGTCCAGCCTGGT